TTTTCGTATTGTAATATTCTCACCTAAGAGAATACAAATCCACTCGGACCCACCTCAATCGGCGGTTGAGTCTCATTTTAATTTCGAATCAAAGTTGCCAAAAATATTATTTTCCAACATAAAATACCATTTTTTCCATCTATTTTATTTAATGAAAGTCGCTATGGTTTAGATTAAAAAAAATAAAAAAATAAAAAATACAAAATTTAGTGTTTAAATTGAGAAAATTAAAAATTCAAAGTTATTTTGTTACAAAAGCCAAAACCTAAGTTTTTTTTTTCGTAATTTAACCAAATTAAAAATTACGTTGAATCTCACTTTGGTTCCTTATTTTTGTAATTAGTATATCAATTAGTGAACTAACACATGATATATCATAATTTTAGAGACTTTGAATCTTTATAGTTTGTATAATGGGTGGGATATATACTTCATAATTTGTTGTTGTTGAATGTTGTGTTTAAAATTTTTGGTTGGTTAGATATGTGTGTCCACTCTGTAGACACCAATTTGTAGTAGCATAGATATGAAAAAGCAAATTTCTTGAAAGCAATCATATATATATATTTTTTTTGGAGATAGAAAATGGCAAGTTGGTATTGACAATTTCGATAAGAACTTAAAAGGAAAATGGTAAAATATGAAAAAAAAATGAAAACAAAATATACAATATTATTTTTATTTTCTATTTTTTAATTTCTTTTTAATTATTTTTTTAATTTTCAGATCCATTTAAAATACACTTAAAAAGTATAAAAATTATATATATATACATTAAAATTCATTGAACACAAAAATAATATAAAAATTCAATATATTTTCGTATTTTTTTATATTCAATAAATTTTTTACAATTTTTTGTACTTTTTAAATGTATTTAGATTAAGTGGATGTAAAAAATTTATAAAAAAATTTAAATGTTGAAAAAAATACTAAAAAAAAAAAATGAATTAAAATTTTCAAAAACTATTTTTAAAAATTTTAAACCAAACAGATGTTTTTCACATTGAAGGATTGATTATATTCCAAACAGAGTGTGTTTGCAAAATAAAAGAAGTGTAAAAACTTGCACCTCTGTGTCTTTCAACAAATGAAACCTTACACCGGGCGACTTCACATGGGAGGTGATAGGTTCCATCATCCATGGCCCATCAACCTATCAAAATTCTTCGTAAAAGATGTATTTATATTATCAATATTTTAGTTAATATAGTTTAATCTCATTAAAAAATTAAGGGTCCCATCAAATAGAAATTCAAGCCTATTTAAGATCCACTGTAAATTCACTCTGTAAAATATTTGTAAAAAATTCACTAAATACAAAAAATTACAAAAATTCAATACTTTTTCAATTTTTTTTTTTTGGTTTTTATTGAATTTTTTAAAAACAAAATTTCACAAATATTTTACTTTATTTTTTAAGTGCATTGAAAAAAATTAACTAAAATATAAAATAAAATAAAATAAAAATTTAAGACAACAAAACATGAAAAACAAAAAACTTGAGCAGTTTTTAAAAACTCAAAATAAAAAAGAGTGAATATTGTTTAATTTAATTTTTTTTTCTTATAAAATTTGTGAAAATTAAGCTTACGGAGTGATTCTATCAATAAAAATTTCTCTTGTACTATTTTTGTATACTGGTTTTTTTGGTTTTTTTGTGTAAAAAAGTTGGTTTTTTTGAAATTTTTGTGTGGCTTTTTTATGTAAAAAAGTTAAAAAGTCATAAAATTATCTTTTTTAACTTGTTCCCAAAACGCCCCTTAGTTGTGTTTTCTCCTAAGCAAGAAAGAAATAGAAAAATGGCAAAAATTTGTTGCATTAGTTTCTATGCGTTCTTAATTAATAGGAAACCAATATACGCGGACAAAACTAAAAGGGACAATTATTAAAAAAAAAAAATCAGAATTTAAATCTTGTAATAAAATAAATCATAAATTTTTAATTTTCTCAATTTAGACCCTAAATTTTTTATTTGTTTTCAATCTAACCTATTTGCCTATTTTTATTAATTAAAATTGATAGAAAAAAAATATATTTTAGTCATTAAATTGAATGAAAAATATTATTTTAGACATTTTATATATGCCTACAATGAGGTTAATGACTAAAATGTTAGTATTTTTCCTGATAATAGAAAACTAAATTATATAAAATAAAATAGTGAAGATAAAACAATCGTATTTTTAATTCTTAAGGAAGACACAAGATTAGAAAAATAGATTACAACATTAGAACTATATCACAAGATGGATTCACATGGACATACAAAATAATATACAAGAAATAGATTAAATCTAAGAGTTTAAAGAACAAAAGATAAATGATGTAAATCAAACCTTTGGTATACATAGTTTTCTTAAAACAAATTTGATACCTCGCCAATGGGTGCTAGAGGAACACTGGCATCTGTTTTTTAGGATATGACGGTCGAAACCAGCTAATGCAGAAGCACATTCTAAATAGTTTCAGCGAACCCGACAATGGTAGCAGTCTCTCATTAACAAGAACTAAAGAAGGGGCTATCAAAAAAGAAATAGGAAAATGTCTTCGAATTTTTCTTTGATGTAAGAAACATCTCCAACTTCATCTAAAAAATCACCATTCTCCATAAAAAATAAAAAAATAAATAAAAATTCTCTCTAAAAACATCCTACTGAGTTGGAGGGGAAAAGTCTCTATTTATACAAGTCGGAGAGTCCTAAGCCATGAAAGCTATCATCATGAGGGCCATCAAAATCCCATTAACCAAGGCTATCAACTCTAGTCATTAGAGTTAGAGTTACAAAGGTTAAAAACTCATAGCCACTAATATGGTCATCAACTTCATTATCAAAAGATAAGAGTTACAACAGTCTAAACCTCCCATGCGCTTTATATATATAAATAAATATGTATATAATGATATTTGAATAATTCAACCAGATGGGTCGCAAAACGGATACGGATGTTGGATCGCAATCCGATCCAAGCCCAATCTCAAACACATGCACAAACTAAGTCCAACACTGCACAACTCAACCCAAGCTCAAAACTAGATTCAAGTCCAAGTCCAAGTCTAACACCAAACCTAGCACATGCTCAAGCTTAGGCATAGTCCAAACCAAGACTAGTCTAAATCTAAGCCTAACTTTTATTGATGCTCACTTTATAAGACAATTCTCATTTACAACCTAATGGTTTCGGCTCATTATTTCAACACATACTTTTCAATACATTTATCCTAGCTTGATAGGTCATTTATCTTAAGTCATAGCTTCATTACCTTAGCTTAGCTTCATAGCTTCATAGCTTAGTTCTTTTAGCTTTTTAGCTTAGTTATCTTAGATTACCAATTGTACTTCATTTCCAATCAATGCAAGTCACAATTTTAGTCTAATTATCTTTGGCACCAATAAATTTGTTAAAAGTCATCTTCATTGAGGCAAGATCCGAATCAATGACGGTTCCTATTAGCCATACGCAATCATTTTTCTGTGTTAGAAGTTAGAAATGTTTAACAATTCCTACACCTTGAACTAGGTTCACAAGTTCCAACACGCCTACATTTACTCAACAAACTTTTGTCTTCACACATGCAGGACTTCTTAAGTAGCAATAGAAATTTCTGAGTGCAAATAATAATATAAATATAAAAAAAATTAGAAGTGTAATTTACCCTTCAAGAAATCATTTAATAATCTCCGCAATTTTATCAAACAAGTTTTTGATGAAGAAAGAGTTTCATTATTTTGAAATTAATTTCGGATTCTATGACTAGCATAGTGATCATATTGAACTTTCCGCTTTTATCAGCAACAGTCTTAACTTATTATATGAGACACATCACCTAAAAATTCATTTATCACCAATTGATAAAATTAGGATGATTAGCAAGCCTCGACACTGCATTTATTTTTTGATAATTACAAATTATTATTTGAAATTTTCACCCAATGGGATTAAACTAAATAAATAAGAATAAAGTAATGTTAGATAGCATTGGAGTATTGTCATTTTAGTTTCTCCAATTTTTTTTTCCTTTTTTTTTGATAACTTGTGTCCAAGTCAACTTGTGCGTATCTTAACAAATCCCACAGTAATGAAATTAACGATAGGATGAACCTCCAATAATCCCTAGGGGTAACTTGAACTCAATGGTATTTTAAAAGGCAAATTATCTATTTTATTGAACTATTAATCTGTCAAATACAGACTTAATTGCTTATAATTAGTGAATATCTTGCAATTGACTGGCCATGCATTATCTTCTAATAATTATTTTTGTTGGACTATAATATAGTGACCTCATTAATTGCATATTACTTTTGTTTGGGAAGAAAGTTCCAATGGCATCATATTTATGCTATTTCCATCGTGTTAGAGTATCTTCAATGGGTTCTTTAAAAGACGTCTATTTGCTATTATAGTTAGTCTTGTCCTATTTTATTTCCTGCAATGGGTTAGTTACTACACTAGTCAGTTTAACAGATTTTTTACTAGCTGGCTACGTTTAGAGAGTCTTGAGAGACTCTTTAAATAATTTGAATAAATAAGTAAAAATAAATAGTAGTGCTAGAGCATATAGATAAAAAAGTATTTAGGCAAAATAAAGAGCATTCCTTTATTATACTATAACTAGTGAAAAATAAAGAGTAGTGTTTAACTTCATTATGTATTTTTCAAAGACATTGTTTCCTATTATTTTAAAAAATAAAATTTTATTAAAATGATATGTATTTTTAAGAATATCATTGTCACATCATCTTTATTAATATATACGTATATATATTAGGTAGTCTCAGAATACAATGTGATATTACTTATGTGATCCTCCCGACCAATGTGAAACCACAAAATACACTTCACCGATCATTCTTTATTTATCAAGTATTTAACAAAAGTGCCTTAGTATGTCTCACCCATAATGGTTGAGAACACAACATGAACAGTACCATAACGAACAACTAAATAATTATCCATTCTTATGTGGTATTTTATACAAAACTTATGTTTGTGGATCATACAAGACTTTTTTTTTCCCAATAATTTTACTTTCAGCCATGTGGAATAGTTGGTAAAAAGAACTTGAGCCATTGGTTTTGATAAGATAGAATATATTCTTGTATGTAAACACATAATAGCAGCTGCAATAATGACTCTCCATTTTGTTACCTTCAATTGTGAATTCATTCTAAAACCAATCAGACTTTTACTCATGCTTTTCTTGGTTTGTTTGTGTCTTTCTCTAAATCTGATATAATGTTTCTTGCTTCCTTGTTTCCACAGGGAAACAATGCCTATAGGCGAAATCATTCTCGCTGCTTTTATTAAGGTGTTGTTTGAGAAGTTGGCCTCAATTGACCTACTGAACTTTGCTCGTCGGGAGCAGGTTCATACTATCTTCAAGAGATGGAGTGGAGAATTAACTGAAATTCAGGCATTCTTGGATGATGCGGAGGAGAAACAGATAGAAAATAGAGCTGTGAAAATGTGGCTAGAGGAACTCACAGACCTAGCTTATGATCTGGATGACATACTGGACGAGTTTGCCACTGAAGCTTTGCAGCGTAAGTTAACAACCGAGTCCCAAGCAGCTAGCACAAGCAAGAGCAAGCTACGAGCCATGATACCTACATGTTGTAAAGGATTCAGTCCAACAACACTTTTGTCTGATTTTATGAAGAGTTCCATTTCCAAGATAGAGGAAATCACTACCAGATTGCAAAGTATTTTTGAAAGAGGAAGTCGACTTGGTTTACAAAACATTGTTGCAAGAGAATCTGCCAAAGCTTGGCACAGACCACCCTCCACGTCCTTGATACATGAACCTCGCATATGTGGTCGGGATAAGGAAAAAAGGGAGATAATTGATTTTCTCCTAAGAAATGAGTCAAGTGATAACAAAGTGGGCGTAATTCCCATTGTAGGTATGGGTGGGCTTGGCAAGACCACCCTTGCGCAGATGGCATACAATGATGAAGTAGTGAACAAGAATTTTGATTCGAAAGCATGGGTCTGTGTTTCTGATGAGTTCGATATTTTGAGAATCTCAAAAGTAATTCTTGAGTCTATTACTTCCAAGTCTTGTGAATTGAAAGAATTGAATCAAGTTCAAGTTCAGCTAAAGCAAAATTTGGTTGGAAAAAAGATTTTAATTGTTTTAGATGACGTATGGGACAAGAAATACAATGATTGGAACGTTTTGAAGAGCCCCTTTAATGATGGAGCCCCAGGAAGTAAGATAATTGTAACAACTCGTGATAGAGATGTTGCATCTATTATGGGAACCGTTCAAAATCATTTGTTACAGCATCTATCAAATGATGATTGTTGGTCAGTGTTTGAACAACATGCCTTTGGGAATAGAAGCTTGGATGCAAATCCAAATTTGGTGTTTATTGGTAGGAAAATTGTGGAAAAATGTAAAGGTTTGCCTTTGGCTGCTAGGACACTCGGTGGCCTTTTACGGTGCAAAGAAAGAGACGATGAGTGGGAAATTGTATTGAATAGCAAAATATGGGATTTCACAGAACAAGGCAATGAAATCCCCTCAGCTTTGAGATTAAGCTACCATCATCTCCCTTCACATTTGAAGCAATGCTTTGCATATTGCTCTATACTGCCAAAGGACTATGAATTTGAGGAGGAGGAGTTAGTCTTCTTGTGGATGGCAGAAGGCCTTCTTCAGCAACAAAATGGAAAGAAGCGAATGGAAGATTTAGGAGCTGAATACTTTCGTGAACTGCAATTGAGGTCTTTTTTCCAACCATCAAGTGGTGGTGAAAGCTCAAAATTTGTGATGCACGACCTCATCAATGATTTGGCTCAGTCAGTTGCAGGATATACTTGTTTTAGATTGGAGGATAAATTGAAGGATCAGGAGCAATGCAAAAAATTGAAGAGTGCTCGACATTCATCTTTCATGCAAAGCAAATTTGATGCATTCAAAAAGTTTGAAACTTTTTATGAAGCCGAGAATGTAAGGACCTTCTTACCATTGTCCTTAAGTGAAAATAGCTATTGTTATTTGACAAGCAAGGTTCCCCTTGATCTGTTGCCAAAGATGAAACGCTTAAGGGTGTTGAGTTTGAATAGATATCACATTGGCGACGAACTTATTCCAAAATCAATTGGAGATTTGAAACATTTGCGATATCTTAACTTTTCCTACACCAGAATCAGAACAGTACCTGAATCATTAGGTACCCTATACAATCTACACACTTTGATGCTAAAAGGTTGTCCATTACTGAGGAAATTGCCTGCGGACATGGGAAACCTAATCAACCTACGTCATCTCGATATGATTGATTCAGATTCCTTGGAAGAAATGCCACGAAGAATTGATAAGTTGACAAGTCTCCAAACACTATCCAATTTTATTGTTATGAAAGACAATGGGTTTCGTATAAGAGAGTTGGGGAACTTGATTCATCTTGGAGGGAAACTTTGCATATCGGGAATAGAAAATGTGGTTGATCCTCAGGATGCAAGAGGGGTGTGTTTAAATGACAAGCAAGGTATAGATGTGCTAACAATGGTGTGGAGTAGTGAGAGCTTGGATGGTTTACTAAATGAAATGGTAGAAACAGAAGTACTAGACATATTAAAACCTCACAAGAAGCTGAAAGAGCTATACATTAGAGGCTACCATGGTATGAGTTTTCCAACTTGGATAGGAGATCCTTTGTTCTCCAATATGGTGTGCATGAAGTTACAAAATTGTAAAAATTGCACTTCCTTACCGCCACTTGGACAACTACCCTCTTTGAAAGACCTTCACATTGAAGGAATGAGTGCCTTAAAGCATGTGGGTTGTGAGTTCTATGGGCAGCATTGCGCCAAACCTTTTCCATTACTCGAGACACTATGTTTTGAGAATATGTCAGAATGGGAGGATTGGTACATTTTTGGAATTGACAAGGAAGTTCAAACCTTCACTCGTGTTATTGAGCTCTCCATCAAAAAATGTCCCAAACTTGTGGGAATGTTGCCGAGTAATCTTCCTTGCCTAAAAACTCTTGAGATTATAAATTGCCCGCAGCTGCTTGTTGAAGCTTCTAGCCTTGCTCTTCCGTCACTCACCATCCTGTCCATGAGTGATGTTCGGCTTCCAAGCCTTCCAGTGCTCCTTGAGACATGTAACGTGCTTCAACCCAGTTCCCTTACTCGCTTGAATATTAGAAATGTTTCAATCCCTGAGTCCCTGTGCAATCCAAGCATAGATGATGAAGTGATGTTGGCAAATGCAATGTCTAAGCATCTGAGTTCAGTAACTTCCTTGAGCTTTAGGAAGATTCAGAAACTTGCATTATTGCCAAAATGGCTTACCCAGGGGCTTAAAGGACTCAAAGAATTGCAGATTTATGGTTGTAACGAACTCGCAACACTGTGGCAGAATGAGGCGGGACTGCAACACAGTCTCCTTGCCTTGCAAAGATTGACAATTGGTTGGTGTCCGCAACTTGTTTCATTGTTTGAAGAAGACGAGGATATAGAAAACGAAGGGCAACATCAACAAGAGGGAGTGCCTTCCATGGTGAGACTTGAGTATCTATCTATAAGTGATTGTGAAAAGCTGGAGAAACTGCCACGGGGGCTACATACCTTCACTTCTCTTCGAGAGATGCATATCAGTATGTGTCCAAGTCTGGTATCTTTTTCAGAAACAGGCTTTCCGCCTACCCTAAAAGAACTTCGGATTTGGAAATGTAAGGCTCTGCGGTCCTTACCTGGGTGGACAGCGCACGATTCTAATCTGGAGTCCTTAACGGGTTGTGATGATCTGGAGTCCCTTCGGGAAGAATGGGTCCACCACCCCCCAACAAAACTGTCATTATTGATCAGCAATTGCAAAAAACTAGAATCTGTCCCTAGTTTATGCAACAACAGCCTCCTCGTTTCCCTTGAATATCTGTTGATAGAAAGTTGGCCTGCAGGAGGAGGAATCGTCTCCTCCTACATTCTAGAGAAAGGGAATTTCCTCACCAACCTCACTTATCTTGATATCAGGGATATGAAGATTGGTAAGCCCCTATCAGAGTGGGGTTTTCACAGATTCTCCTCTCTTAAAACTCTCTGGCTTGGAGGCCCAAGTAACGTATCATCATCATCATCATCATCATCAGAAGAAGAATATTATTCGGCGTCCAGCTTTCCAGTAGATGGGATGTTGCTGCCCACCTCTCTGATGTGTCTGGTCATTTGTCATTTCCCAAATCTGGAGAAGATATCTTCTTCCATGGAGACCATTCAAAACCTCACCGATCTTGTATTCAGAAATTGCCCTAGGCTCGCATCTTTTCCCGAGCAAGGAGGGCTGCCTCCCTCGCTTTTGGCACTTGAATTCAGAGATTGCCCTAGGCTCGCATCTTTTCCCAAGCAAGAAGGGCTGCCTCCCTCGCTTTTGGAACTTTATATCTCCGGATGTCCAATAATGAAACGGAGGTGTGAAAAGGGAAAAGGCCAATACTGGCCACTCATAGCTCCGATTCCTAAAGTCACCATAGAAGGCAGATACATCTTTGAAGGGTAAAGACCAATATGAGCAATCAAAACTAGCAGGTACTCAAAAATCACCCAAATAAATATATCAAAATTATTATTTTATTATTTTTATCAATGCTAACAATGTCGCATGTCCTCATCTCATTACAACAGAGCATGTTGTGTATTACTTAATCATTTAGCTGTTTGAGGTTCGTCTTTTTTTTTTCCGATTTTGTTCTTTTATTTTGAATAATTTACTAATGGTGGTCTATATGTTGAGTGAAGGTTTTTTCGTAATTACGCAAATATTATTGGTTAATTATGCAACCTAAATCTTTTATTTTTTAACAAATTATAAATACACTCATAAGATTTGTTTAAAATATGAATTAGTCCTATAATACTAGAAATTATAATCATCGTTTATTATAAATTTTAATTTAATACAATACTTAGGGGAAAAAAAATTATTCTCCAATGCAATAATAAATTATCAAAATTGTTTATTAAAAAATATTTCTCATATCATTAAAAACTATTAATTTCCTTAATGATTTATTTATTAACAAAATGGTTAACTGAAAAATATTTTTCATATCATTAAAAATTATTAATTTACTTAATGATTTACTTATTAATAAAATTGGTTATTTGTTATGCAAGTATGATTTATGTATTAATAAAATTAGTCATTTGTATGTACATGTATTTTCTTCTACTTCTTTATTAGTTCAGTGAATTATCTTAGCAGTTTTTTTAGATGGGAGAATTATCTTAGTATTTGTTTTATATTTATGTATTGAAAAAAAATATAAAAAGAAGTGTTTGGGATGATTTTTTTTTTCATCAAATTTGATAAAAAGAAAAAATTGGGATAAGAGAGGAATTTTTTAAAAGATTTTGATGTAAGGATTGGAGTATTTCATATCAAATCAAAAGAGTCGGTTTTATTCAAATTTGGAATCAAAGTAGATGAAAATTTTGGTGAAGGAATGGAGATGCTCTAACTTGATGAAGGTTGAAGATGAAGAAGCCAGATTAATTTCTTAAATATATATATATATTATTGAAAAACAAGGGAATTCCATTTCAAGTGTTCTCAGTGTTGGTCTCTTGCCAACCAACCACTGCATTCTTCTTCATAGAGGGGTTTTGGGTCTATTTATTTTTAGTTCGGAAATTAAGGTGGTTTTGTATGCTGCCTATTTTTTTTCTGTTCTTTATTATCCCTTCCCCTTGTTTATTTATTGATTCTAATGCTTCACATTATTATTCATAAACTCTTTTTGTTTTTTGATAAAAAATATAAATCATATTGCAGAATGGTAATTTGTTTTCTCACTTTAACACCCAGACGTAATCAGGATCACATGCCCAATCACAATAATCAACCATATCTTTCTTTTTCATTTTTAATTTTTGGGTCGGAGCATCGATTACTTACCTAGAATTTATGTATTTTCACCATGTATAATTGGTGTCTTTTTGCTTTGTCTACATATGTTGTTTGATCTCCGTTTTGTGGCAGTCACTAACCCAATTACTTTTCAGTTTTCAGCAATTATTATTATTATTTTCCCTGTGGTGTTTTCAGGTTTTAGTAAAAGTTGTTCAAGGTGTAAGTTTCGGTAGATGCTTGTCAAATGTTTATTTGTGATTGTTGTTATTGTTTTCATTTCCAGGTTCAATACATTCATTTATCTACTTTGCCCCAGCTACTGCTATTCTTGGGAAACCAAAAGAGCTACCAAAGGATGGTATCAACTCTTTTAATCATTTTCAGCTGCGTCCGGTGAAGTAAATGTTGCATCTGATTTAAAGAAATGTTGCATCTTGTTGAAGACCTAAAGAATGCAGTGGCTTGATGATTCTGTATTGTTGTTGTTGTTTCCTTGCTTCTAGTCATGTTGCTTTTTCTTTTTCTTTTTTTGCTTTTTTGGTAAACTGGGTTGCTTCTTTTATCATACTGTATTTTCTGTTGTTGCTTTTGTACGTGTCATATATAAAAGCTCAATGGTAAATTGACTGGTTTATGTTGATGCTACTGTTGTTGCTTCTTTGGCTTTCTAGACTTTCTGTGCAGCTATTGCTATCTTCTCATGGTCTTTATGTTGTATCTATTGTACATATGTTTATGTCAGATGTAAACAAGGCCTAGATTGGCTAAATGGTATTGTCCTCATCTTTTGCTTGCTTTAGACAATTCCCATCCTTGTTTGTATTGCCCATGTATGCTCCTTGTACTATGTATTTACTTTTGATCTTTGGTTTATATTGACTTCCCAAAAAAAATGAAGTTTTGTTCATCAAATAATCTGAGTGTTGAAATTTGATTCGTTTTGGTTGGCTTCAGTTACACTCAGCAGCTTTTCACATTTTGCAGCAATGATTGCTAAATGTCCTTTTTAGGTTATTCAACTGAGTTTTTCCGAGAGAGAGAGTGAGTGAAGGAGCAAACTAAAGATTGAAGTATCTAAGACTTACAAGTTCTGCTGAGGTGATGTACACCTGGAGAATTTTTTTTTCTAAAAGAGATGGGTGAGAAGATTTCACCTTCTAAACTCAATCATATGAACAAAGTTACTGCATAAATTAGTAATTTTGTGCCTGAAATGGCAAAAGAAAGTACAGAATACCTTGTAATCTCTCAACAACCTCCTCAGCCCTGCCTACCATAAGTTTAATGCGAGTCTTTTTGTCAAAACAAATCAAGCCAAAAAACATTGAATATTAACCCTGTGACTATAATTACAGTGAGCATAATCTCATATGATGAAAGATTCATTACATAGATTTATGGTTCTGGGTAGTTCTAATCTAAAAATTAAGAATGAAGCTCTCATGATTAAGTGGTGGTGGAGGTTTGCATCTGAGTCAAATCCCCTTCGGAAAAGGAGTGATTTTTGTAAAGTATAATTGGACAACAAGAGATGGGATATTTCATAATTTCATTGCTTAAAGGATAATGTAGTTTTTTTCTTCTTCTTCTGAACATGTCCCCATTAATGTGCTACTGAAATTGGGGTAATGGAATGAGATTTCTCTTTTTGTTTGATAAATGGCTGTCTGATGTAACAAAGATGGTCTCATTAATGATTTCATAACATGTGTACCTCACATAGGAAGACTTTGTTTGTATGGGATAACATGTGTACCTCACATAGGAAGACTTTGTTTGTATGGGACAAGGAGGAGGAATGCCATCATAGGTTATTGAAAATGCTGCCACAGATTGATCAGCTTAATGCCAATCAATGGATCAATTAATTTGGAAGGGTGATCCATCAGGTAACTTCTCAGTAAAATCTTTACATAACCTGTTTGCGTCATCTGGAGGTTGTATTATTCCTACAATAGAGTTTATGTGGCAAAGTATTGCCCCCTTTGGAATTGTTGCTTTTTGGTTAAAATGAATACCCTAGATGAATCCTGTTTTGGGCTCTGATATATTTGTCGGAATGAGTCAGAGTCAATTGGATCATCTCTTGTTACTTTGTAGGAGATCTTGGAAATTTGAGGTGATTGTTTGTCTTGGTGGGTAATGAAATGGGTTGTTCCTCATCGGTTAATGCCTTGATTTGTGGTTTGGATTGAAATTCAAGAATGTCAAAAAGCTCTTATGGGAGGCTAAACCCATCCATGACAATTTTTTGGACCATCTGGAAAACCAGAAATAATAACCTTGTCTTTAATAATGGTGAAGCTTCTTGGGAAAATGTCTTGGAGATAATTAAAGAGAAAGTTGCAACTTGGCTAAAAGCACATTGAATTATCCCTTGCTATACAGTTGCTGATTTAATCTTAAAGATGAAAGAAGTCAAATACCTACACTTCCCTTTAAAAGGTGAGGGATTTTTGCGCTTTGCTAGGTTACGCAACTGTGGATTTTCACGTATTCTTTTGACATGGCTCTGCTCTCTTCCTCTTTGTTCTTAGTGGTGTAAATGGTGATTCAACTTTGGATGATGAAAGGGACTGATTCAACTTGGAAGATGGATGAGTTCATATGGCAGGATTGCATTCTTGGTCATTGTTCTACCTCAGTTTGGCTGGTGTAGGCAGTTGAGTCCTCATTGTTTATGTTTTTCAGCTTTGTCATCCTAGTTGGTGTCTTGCAGAGTTTTTTTTTTTTGGAGTGGATCCTAGCATTATGAAAAGTTGTCTAGTTGCTGCTACAATCTTGGTCATTGTTCTGCATCCGTCTTAGTAGGTGTTTTAGGGGTTGTTGGCCTTTGGCTTAAGCATATGATTGGCTTAGTAGCATGAGTCACCTAGTTGGGATTTTTTTTTTCTTTTTTTTTTTTCTGTAATGATGCTCTCTTAAAAAAATAAAAAGAAAAGGGCATTACCCTAGTGTCATTAGACATCCAGAATTTTGAAATTTGAGTTTCAATAAATTTCATCGTGTTTCAATTTTGTGAAATTGTTGTTTAATTGGACTTAAATTTGTCAAATGGACACATTGATGTTTTGAACATATTAACTTATGAGTAGTGATAGAAACATGTACATACAATTCTTGAAAAACTTTCACCTTTGAGCAGTTTTCACCCATAAATTGGTAAACTGCTGTTCTTCAATTAATGGAAAGGAATTTGTTAATTTCTATATCTTTTAATGAGAATACTTTGTGTTGAGAGATCCAAGGGGTCACCTCTCCTGCTAGCATCCATTTCTATAGCTTTGAACACTCAGCAAGTTAGTTTAAAACCACTCTAAAAATTTTTACTTTTATACCTTTTTGCATATTTTCCTACATTCTAGGTTGCATTCCTTTCTGTCAGTAGGTAGAAAAGACAGATAGATAGAAAGATGGAGTCTAATAACTTTTGAAGCATTTTTCACCCCCAAACTATACCACGCAACAGCCTGCACAAACATAAGCACAGAAGCAAGATTTAAACAAGAAGATATGAAGACTAATTTGTGTTCAGGATCTAAAAGGTCTTCTCATATCTAAAAGGTCTAGTAACATGAGGTAGGTTTAGTTCATTAAAAGTAAAGTGGACCAGAATAGTTATTCTATCAAAAAGTTCATTATCATATTTAGTTCCCTAAAGAAAGGTTAAAAAATATATTGTAAATGAAACAAGGAATGAACATTTCATTCTATTCACTTTCATTCTAATGAACCAAACATAGAAAGAAATGTTACATTAGACTCTCTTAAGGTTCAAATTCACATGACACTTAATTGCATTTTTATCAAAAATTATTAATCATATGAATAAAAAAATGATATTGCCATATCTTTTCATCACTTTTGTACTGAAATGTATAGTTTATGTTATATCTTTGTATCTTCATACCATGTATACTAATCAAGATCACTTTAGCTTTGCTAAAATAAAGGTCGATGTAATTATGTTAAAACTGTAGGTCTTATTATATTTTTTTCAAAAGCTTAGGCGAGGATATGTGTTTGATTTGTGTTTGTAGAGTAGTTTTTGAGATAAAAAGTACGAAAACTTGTTTGGTTTGTCTTTTTTTAGAAATGGTTTTGGAAAATTATTTTGGAGAGAGAGTTTTAAAAAAAGTGATTGATTTGATGTGTATGAGAGAGAGAGTGATTTTGGAAAGTAGATAACCAAACAAAATTTTGAGATTTTTTTTTGAAAAAATTTGTTTGGTTTGATTACTCTTGAAAATTTGTTTGTAGAGAATTTTTCTGAAAAACAAACCAAACAAGGCCGTTATTTTCCCAATCATATAATTTTCATTATTGGATTAATTCGGTTTTTTCATAGATATTCTACACATATAGGCCTAAAAAATAAATGATAATCAAAATGCAACCAATGATGGGCCCAAAAGTTCGGACTAGACCGATCGAGTCCAAATCTTGGATTGCAAGCAATCTAATGGATAATTTGGTGAAAAGTACCACACAAAATTGAAATGACTCTGTTACAAAATTTAGTGGCTTAGATCCCTTGGTTTAGATTTTTTGAGAGTTAAAGGACACATTGTAAATTAATCAAAGGTGTTATTTGGTGCAATAGTAAGTTTAAAAATTGATAATGCAAAAGTAGAAATTGAAAGCACTCTTCACTCGACGTTTAAAAATTAATTTTTTTAATTTTATAATAAACTATCAACAGAAACTATACAAAATAATCTCACATATTTAGAAGTTGTGGACTGTTTTATCCTTCCATTTGTGGATAAAGTGTCGAGAACCATAAAATACACAAGCATTAATGAGGTCAAAACCTCCATGGTAGATCACCATCAACATCAATTAGCTGGGCATATACTCTTGTTACCAATTGTTACAATTCCTGTATGACAGACATGCTTTCTTACCCATTTAGACAGTTTAAAAAAGGATAAATTACACTATTGGTTCATATACTTTGGCTATTATGTTATTTTGATCCTTATAATTTTAATTGGATCAATTTTAATCCTTTTTTTTTTATTTTGTCTTAAATTGATCCAATTATTTATAATTAGTAGCATTTTTTTTTATTATAAATGTGCACATGAGCATCATGTGTTATACTTTTAGAAGTAAAATTAGAAACTTAATCAATTCAGTAACTTAACTTCAACCAATTAAATGATTGTTTTTCGTCAAAAACCCTAATGACGTTATCAATTAAACCAAATTGATGCAAAATTTAAAATGAAAGGTTAAAATTGAGCTAATTAAAACTGTAAGGACTACAATAACACAAGTAACAAAGTATATGGACTACCGGTGTAATTTGCCATTTAAAAAAATGTGTGTGATGGTTTTGTAATGCTGGTGGTGAAATTTTAATGTTATTAACACACTAAAATCAACTCCAATAGATTGGCATGGTGGTCAAAACATGGGGTCTGGGGTGTATTCATTTCATGGTCCCAGATTCAAAATCTGGTAAGTATAAATATTTTTTTTGTGGTCAGTTCATATGAGGCTTTGCCTCAATTTTAATTGGAGTCCCAACTAGTGAACGGTGGAATTGATCTCTTAGATTAGTCGGTCCATTAGGCCGAAAATTGAATTATCAAAAAAACTAAAACGCTAAAATTTTATTTTTTTAATATTGTTATTTTAGTATTTTGATAAAAAAAAATTAATATATCCACTGATAATAGGTAATTTTGATGAAAATTATTTTGTATAATAATGAGTATAAAAATTTCCATCAACGATGCTAGACGGAAGTTGTTTTGTTACTGTTTAGGTAAGGTTAACACTCTGAAATTTTACACAATCTTATTATTTTACTGTTTTGATAATGATAAATTTATTTTTAAATATATTTATTGGTGATAGTAGTAATGGCAATGAGTGTGGTGAATTGTGATAGTCGTTGTGGAATTTTACTATTCAATCTAAGATTAACGTAAGAAAATTTAACTTCGCTAATATCATCATTTTCATTGTTTTGATAAATTATTTCTTTAATATTTTCACTAGAGATGTAATAGTATGTGTGATGGTTTGAGATGGTAGATGTAGTAGAATTTTATTATTTAAATGTTAAACTTAGAACAATATAATTTTGGAAAACTTATTTTGAAAAAAAAAATGATAAGTTTGACCCTTCTAACAAATTACACTTCGATTTTTTAATTTTATCAATTTGAATCATAATATTTTCAAATGGGATTTAAATTGACAAAATTAAAAAATTAGGATTTATTTTGTTATAATGTAAAATTTCATTTTTTTAAAAAAGAATTTCATACTCAACATGAATATTTTTTGATAGAATTCCATGAAAAAATTTCAAAAATATTTATTTTATTAAAAAAAAATCTATCAGAAGTTACAAATAAATTTAAATTTAGAAAGTGGAACACGAATATTTTAGTAAATAGACTAATTAAAATAAATATTTGTGATCATTCGCGGAAAATGTTGGTAAAGATTTTGGACCTCACATGAAAATTTGAAACTTTTAATAAATGCGGTGCAAGTATATCCACTTTTTGAGAAAATTTGAAAAGATTACTTTGGTAAATGAAGAAAGAATTTTCAAGGGAAATGAGAAATATATACTAAAAAAAATACTTTTTGCGACTGTCCATGCGATGGCAAATAAGGGTCGCGAATGTAAAGGTAGCAAATACTTTTTGCGACCGCAAAACAACAGTCGCAAATTATTTGCGACCACCTAACCTACTTATAGCGACTGATATTTTGCTGTCGTAAAAAAATTTAAAAAATGCCTACAATGTATTAGCGACCATCTTCTTACCGTCGCCAAAAAAAAAAAAACACCTACAATCGTATAAATATAGATATATATATTCAAATATTATATACAATAAACATAAACACATATTTGTAAAAATCTCAACATTCATGCATTATTTTCCATTTATTCCCTGAATAAAATCTCAACATTCACGCATTAACACTTCTTCTACACTTCCTTGTTTTTCTTTCCTCCGAACTATCACAAACCTCAAAATATACTTTCCATTAAACCAAAGAACTAAACAATCAAAAAGAATTGAAAGTGAAATAAATACACATCCATGCTTCCTACACAATATTCTTTACTTTTTTTAACCTAAATGAAGTGTAAAAAAAAAAAACTGCTCTACTATTACTTGCGTGTCTTCTTCTTTTCCATGTAACTCATAACAGCGCTGCTCCTACTAGTTGAAGGGAGTGAACTTTCAAGACACAATGGAGGCGGCTTTCCCATGAGAAACATTGGAGAAGCACCAGTCTTGATGATCTGCAGCACAACTCTCCACGCCAAGACAAAAAATGAGATGCTGGAATGGGCTTGCATTGCAAAGCAAAGGTTTGGATCAGTTTTAGAGCTTATCACGGAATCAGCAGATGCCGGATTGCTGATAGCCGGCTGCATTGACTTAACTAGTCTAATTGATGACCCCTGGGGAAAACAAGCAACATTTGATGATAAGTGCATTTTAAATCAGATGTAAACTCACAAATAACAAGGGGTTTCGGTAGTACTTCAATGAGAGAAAGCATAAGCGTTATTCAGCCACTCCAGCAGAAATATTTGATGACATACATGCAAGTGTGAAATGTTTGCTAGAACGTGATTGACATGTGTTGAAAGGAGAGGAGAGGTGTTAATGTCAGTTTGGCAAGCAATAATCATGTCAGAAATTCAATGCTTCCTCATGCTATCCATGCAAAGTCATTCAAGTGTTTATGCAAAGAAATCATTACGTACTCCACTCCAATGACAATTGGAAAACCACAGGGCACTTTTTGAAAACAAACGCACACTCACAGATAAAAAAAGAATCAAGATGCATGGCCAACAATATTAAATATTATTGCTCATTATAATTCGCATCCAAATTCCAGAAATCTTTTACTTTCCAAAATATTTGCGCTGTTAACAAATTCTCTTGGTTTATAAATAGAATAGCCCCACTGGAACTCCACTTTAGCTTCCCAAGCTCATGAATTTCCATGAACTCACATCTTGGAGGCAAGGAGCTGTAATTGGAGTGCCAAAGGCACAATTTGAACATCAAGAATTGTGAGATGTAACAATAAGCTATGGTGGGGGCTTTCCCATGGAGGTTCCGAAGGAAAGTTTACTCATACAAACACTACTATAATTCAAGTGCAGGAAACGTAAGTTGCACTTACCAGTCAAATATTGGAACTGAGTGACAAGTTTCATTATCACCCAAGGGTGGTAGCCTGACGGACTAGAGGTCATGAGTTCAAGTCCCACAGGTAGTCACTAGGCAGCACAAAGCTCATGCATATACCAAAAGAAACCATATCCACCAAGAACATTCCATTTGACCAAAATTTGGTAGATAGGAAAGAAAGCAATATTTATGAACAAAGTTCCATTTCTCACAGCTCAATGGGACAAAGATTTTAGAACTATGCATTGACAGTGACACATTGTAAAGCAGAAAGAGATAAAAGACTAAAACAACAAACAAATGAGCCGATTACAGCTGATGAGAATAATAAGGATAAGATTAAGCAACATAATAGAAAGCAAGAGTACCTCAGCTGCATATGTGCCTCGATGGTTCAAATCAGCACCGGACATGTCCTTCACTCCAAACAAGCTACCAATTCCATCATTACCAAACAGTTGTTCTGGATCATTAAGAGCTACACCAAATGTTTCTTCATAGTTCTCAATATTCAAGTCAACTTCATCCATATTGAAGTCCTCATAGAATTTATCATCTTCTTCTAAATCACGTGCTTTTGTTCCAGGACAGCACGTCTACATATTAATTAGTGGAGGTCAGATTTTTACTCAAGCAACAGAGTAAACAGGTAACCTTAAACATATTCATAATACTAAAAAGTTGATCACTTTTGTACTTTGGCAATCTTAATTGATCTAACAAATTATCACTACATGCATTTTATTTTAATCTTCTTTACAAGCATGGCTAGGATTGAAAATGTGTCATATAACATTCCAAGAAGAAAGGTCCAAAGCTCAAAGCCAATGAGTAAGGTTGAGAGGAAAAATAATGATGGTACTGTTTGGCTGACTAGAATGATTAAGATTGTGAGGACCAAGAAAATATATGAAGAATGGAAGAGCAAAATCTTCGCAACTATGCTGTAAAACAAAGGTGCTGCAAGAACTATCACCAGATAATATGCAAAAGTCCTACTATGAGAATTCAGAAGAGAATGATAAACTAAGAGCAAGGGAACTATAAAAGCAATTTGGTTACACCAACATGATGATCATATTTGTCTACTTGGGTAATTGACATAGGAGCTTAAGAGAAATCGAAAAAGCCCTTGCTTGACATGTATGCTGAAGTTTCAAAATAGAATCAGACATATGTTTACCTCACTAGAATCAAGGAAATATCAAAATAGCAGAGGTGTATGAACCCAACCTAACTGATTTGTCCCAATCCCCACTGGCTTTTTCTATGTTTTGTTAAGGTGCTCTAGGTTAAGTAATAAGTAGTAAACTTTCTAGTTAAAAACTAAACTAACAGATTACTTAGCTAACTGAGAAAATAAAGTCCACAAAGTCGGTATGGCCAGAAATGAAATCAATCTAACATCTTGCTGATTCTATAGACTTCTATAGAATTGCTGATTGCTCACTATTCATGGAACAATGTTTTCGCCCTAATTTGTTATGTTCATCATACACAGAATCATCTCACTTCCTAAAAGCAGTTGTCATTGTTTACATTATTAATCTCAAGTTTTGAGAAGCAAAATGAGGATTCACATTTGAGCTTGACTGCAAGTGCAGTAGCAAGTAAATACAATGACCAAGGTAAAATATGAAGCCCTGTTTGATTGTGGGATTAATTACAGTGAGTTCAACCGGGGCTATAGAAATCAGCAATTCTATAGCCCTTTCTCAGACCTATAGAAATCAGCAATTCTATTGTGGGATTAAATACAATGACCAAGGTAAAATATGCATAGTTTATCATCGTTGATATTTGATCTTTCTCAGACCTGAATTACAGATGCTGCTACAGATATGGAGTCTAATTCTGGAAACAAGCTCCCTGTACTACAAACTGCTGCAGCGCTTGCAGTTTCCTTTTCTATCTGCAAAACTACCTCTTGGCTCACCAAATTATCTGGAATTAAATGAGGTGAAATCAAGCATGTGAGAGCAATGCTATATATACGATCAAGTTAATGGATCAGACCTCTTTGATACAATTTAGGAAAGCCGCATGCAGTTGCATTCAGGTCATTTACGGTATCCATTTTTCTACATTATAATCACTAATCAGGGTGGCAATAATGTCCTTATGTAAAGTGCTATCATAGCAGAAATAGCTGGATTTCTGTTAAATTTACACCAACAATGTAAAATGGCGATGTTTTTTAGCTGTTAATTTAATATGGTTGGTTTTTGTCAGCATCATTATTCATTTCTGTTCAACATGTTTGTGCTTATCACTTGTTTTAATTTTAAAATCAACATCCTCATCTTGGATATGTTCATTTCTGATTATTATTATTACTTAAATTAATTATTTATTTAAATATTGAGAGATGGTTTTTCATTAGTAAGGGGCAGGTCAATTTGGAGCATTGAGAATGTTACTACATATAAATAAGGAGGTTCTAAAGAAACAGAGGGAAGTACAGAGTTTTAAATATCTTGAATCATTTTTATTTATTTTCTAAAAATATTAGGATGTTGGGGTGTTTAGATGTTTGGTCTTGAAGTGATGGCATTACACTGGAAAAAGAAACTACTTGCCGTAGACTTAACTCTGTAGGGCCTTCCTCCACCGAAGGAATTGTGAGACCTTTTCTGGAGGCACCTGGAAAGTGGTTATGTTCTAGTATTGAAGGTCATCTTGTTTCAGTTCATCTTCAAACACAGTTTCTGGTCATCTGTCTGAGATGGGAACATTTGGATGGTATTTGGGTAGCAAAGGGAAGAAATTCAATCCTAGTATATTAATATCAGTGAACTTGTGTTACTGATCAATCAAAGAAAATGAATGAACAAGTAAGCAATAAACAAATAAGTATCATCCAGAGATTGCTTAGTCAAAGGAGTCAACATAGGAACTCAAGTTTGGATGGTTCTAAAAGGACTTCTCTCTTTAAATTCGTAATGTAGTTCAAATATTAAGAAATATATAAACTCTGTCATGAGGTTCATATCTGTATGTATGTGTGTTTCATACTTTTAAGTCAAAATGAATTCTGAAACTTGTTCTTTTCTTAGAGTTCCTAGATTTCAAGCATTGTTCCTGCCTTTATGCATATATGTCAATGCATTATCTGTTGAGCTATACAAAATGTGATTATACAAAATGCATTATCTGTTGAGGTATACAAAATGTGATTATTCATGCCTTTATGCATATATGTCAATGCAGACTTCACATTTGAAATGAAGCAGAATAACATGATTTTGTTTTTTATGCTTACCTTTCAATATTTTCTTTCACTTACCCACCCAAAAAATTTTCTTTCACCTCTACTAAACTTGTGTTCATTATTTATGTATGTACTTGCTTTTTGCTAGTGAGATACTGAGAGAGTACGGAAGCCAACTGACAAAGCTATCACAAAGAATTATGGAGATTGTGCTGATGTGCTTTGGGGAAGATTTTGAGAGGAAATTTGAACTGGAGTTCACTAACTGCCATGGTTATTTAAGAATATTCATTCATCAATTTTTGATTAATATTCTATGATTAATATTTATTCATAGAATCTGGTAAAACACCTGAAATAAGCTAACAAATTAGCAAAAACAAGATCACTCACCGAAATCATGTCTCTATCTATCTGTATAACTTTAAATTAGCAAAAACAAGATGAATCACCTAATAAATCAACACCACAAATTAAAGTGTTAAATTCAATGTATAAAGGAGAGAAATACAGAGAGAATAAATTGTATGTATTCAATTGATTGATTTTTCAGTGATTTACAACACTCTCATTTATAGAGAGGAAATGTGGTACACATAGGATACTAACTAACACCGAAAGCAGAAACATTATCATTAGTGGGACAGTTGGACAACCAGATATGGCACACTAATATTACATTAATAGCCCCCCTCAAACTCAAGGAGGATAGGTACTAACCAACTTGAGTTTGGAGAGAGTAACAAAACAGGAAAATAAACTGACAAATAAAATAAAAGTGGATAGGAGACACTGTATGGTCGTGTCGAACCGTTTTAGAAGCTAACCGGAATCAATGTCGGGACAGTTTACGAGGTCATGCCAGACCGATGTAGAAGCTAACCGGAATCAATGTCGGGACAGTTTACGAGGTCATGCCGGACTGATGTAGAAGCTAACGGGAATCAATATCGGGACAGTTTACGGGGTCATGCCGGACCGTTGTAGAAGCTAATCGGAATCAATGTCGGGACAGTTTACGGGGTCATGCCGGACCGATGTAGAAGACACTGTATGATCGTGTCAGACCGTTGTAGAAACTACACTATATGATTGTGTATATAGGTTGCACCGTCAAGGGCCGCCCAGGACAGAGGCAAGAAAAAGAGACCGACGGCAGAGTAGAGAAGGGAAAAGAAAAATCCCTCCAGTGGGTGTGGTTGTGTGGTTGTGGTTTTTTTTTTGTGTTTGAGAATTGAGAACTGTGATCGGGGTAGATCCCTGAGACGAATAAAATAAGGTTTGGTGTGCAAATCTATATGGTATGAATGAGATTTGAAAAAGGTTAAAAATAATTTGAAAGAAAAAGAAAGAAAGAAATAATAAGAATATAGGTGAAATTAAAAACGAAAGAGTGGTTCTGGGCCACAGATTTGTTAAAACCAGCAATGGTGTGTGGATTTTTTTTTTTTTAATAATAATAATAATATATTAATGTAGAAAGCATATGCGCTGGTGGGAGTTGCATATAAAAGATGTAAAGATGGGTGTGATAAAGAAAAGAATGGTGGTGGATAGAAATTGATGTGGGTAGTGGAGACATAATGATGATGATAAAATATGATGATGGGGTTAAAATAAGATAAAATAAAATGATGATGGGGTTTCAGGGAAAAAGAGTGCAGGTTAGGGCTATTGCCCCTGCAAAAGATATATTATTGTAGAGTGGGTCACATGGGTGAGTGATGGTAAATGAATTAAAAGAAAAAATAAAGAAATAAAAGACGAAAAGTAAAATGGGGTTGGTGATGTATATGGAGAGAGAATCTAGAGAGACGAAGTCCAACAATTCCTTCAAGCCTAGGGAGAGCATCTGCGGTGCACATTAGAGAGGCAGACACATTACCGTGCGTTTGTCGGCGCGACGGAGGAGTCGGTGGCTCGGAGGCTGAGGTGGAGAAGGTGGCGCGGCGCAACGCCGAGCGATCTTCGCGGAGGCGCAGGCGTGGCACACTCGGGCAAAGGGCACAGGAGGCCACTGCTTCGGCACTGCAGGAGCGCCTTCAGCAAGCCATAATGAGCGACGACGGAGGACTGCTGAGGAGCTCGCGCCACGGGCGGCGCGTTGGCTCTGACTTGGCTGACGCGAGCAAGGGCGCAGGAGGCCACTACTTCATTTGGATGGTCAATGGGGGATTTTTTGAGCTAAGAGATGAACTCATTATTTGCTGTAAGTGAGCTTTTTCCACCGCTGATCTTCTCGACTCTTCTGGAGAAGATGAATTAGATGGTGATGGAACACCCGTGTTAATGGATGTCCTTGTGGATACACTACTTTCTTTGCTGCCGCAATCATCTGCTCCTATGCGTTCTGCTATTGAGCAGGTTTTTAAATATTTCTGCGATGATGTCACGGACAATGGACTGCTTCGGATGTTGCGGGTTATAAAGAAAGATCTGAAACCAGCTAGACATCAAGATAAAGACATTGAAGATAATGAGGAGCTCAACTATGGAAGAAGGTATGTGTAGAAAAACAAGCAGAATAGGTTGAGGTCCGGCGAGCTGCCAAGGCGAGGTTGCCGCCCGTCGGTGAAACGAAAATACTAGGTTCTAAACCCGCTCTGATACCATATTAAATTCAATATATAAAGAGAGAAATACAGAGAGAAATACAGAGAGAATAAATTGTATGTATTCAATTGATTGATTTTTCAGTGATTTACAACACTCTCATTGATAAAGAGGAAATGTGGTACACATAGGATACTAACTAACTAACACCGAAAGTAGAAACATTATCATTAGTGGGACAGCTAAACAGCTAGATATGGCACACTAATATTACATTAACATAAAGAACGATCGAAATCAACACAGAAATTCAGAATAAATCAACACAGAAATTCAGCAACTAGGCATAAAACAAACACCCTAGATTACAGAGAGAGACAGAGAGTTGGATTCAACCTTCCAACATTACAGATTAATCAACCATTACAAAGAGTAATCGATGAAGATGAAGATTACAGATTAATCAACCATTACAAAGAGTAATTCATTTTCAATTTACACATTACAGATTAATCAATGATGACGTGTCAAACATTACAGAGAGTAAGATTCAAGCGATGAAGATGAATCGATGAAGATGTGTCAAACACTACACAGTTGAATCGATGAAGATGTGTCAAACATTACAGAGAAAGACAAAGAGAAGTGCTTAGGCTTACCGATTACGAATCTCGATTATGAATCGATCGAAATCTTCATCAACAGTAGATTGAAATCTTCAAATCTTCATCAACAGGAGATTATGAACCGATCAAATCTTCAAATCTTCACTGTCAAGCGAAAGAAACAGTGAGATTCGAGTAAGAGAGACTAGAGATTCAAAAGAGAGAGTCGAGTGAGAGACAGATTTTGAGAGAGAGAGAGAGAGAGTTCAGATTTGGGAAATAAGAAAAAAAGGGACACAGGGCAAGTTTTACAAATTTTTATTTTTTTATTATTATTTGGGTTAAGAACACGATTGGGTCAAGTAAAATGATATTTTAATGTAAAAAGTAATTTTTTTGCGACGGCCACATAATCCGTCACAAAAAAAATAGAGGCAAAAAGTAAGATTTTTAGTAGTGATATATATATATATATATATATTTACAATATAAGGTGGGTTAGCCAATTGTTTAACCTTACATGGAGATGCTGTGTAATGAGCTCCACTTGAATTACTAGCTTGTAGTTGTGCACTTTGTTTTTAGTTGAGTAATGGTGTAAATATAGAATTACTTGTGTGTATTTGTGTATCTAGTTCTTGGATAAACTTATCATGAAATGAATCCGTCCCTAGATGTTTGGATCATAACCGACTAGTAATCATGAGATTACTTATGGTCTCAGACAAAATTCAAATCAGATTTAGTTATATGGGGCCAGAAGCGGAAGCAGAATAATAGAATTTGTCCAATGAACTTGTGCATATATGGTATGAACAAAAACATTTTATATATTAATAACTTACACTCATATTCAGTCAAATAGATATTACATATCCATAGATCATTCACAAGTCATTAACATTCAAAACTCAAAAGCTTATGTACAACTCAATCTAACATGACCAACAAAAGAAAACAAAAAATCAAAAGACAAAAGCCTCTTCCATGAGGCGCTCCTTAGCTAACTCCACAAAACTTGGATACACACAAGACTTCTCTAAGGTTAGGTATCCCACTACTCACCTACATACATATATATAATGGAGTGAGCTAAAATCCAATGAATAACATCAGAGTAAATAGATTATATAAAAGAGTTCTATTACATAAATAAAATCATTCTTATAGTAAAATCATTGCATAGTGGATACATGACAGAATGATCTTTGGTCCAACATATAGCAAAAAAAACAGAACAAAACATATCATAACATGACGGAATGACCTAGGGTCCAATCCATTACAGATGTATAATGACCATCTGGTCAACACATATCAGACATCTCAGAAGGGTCTGTCAAATACATTTATACATAGTCAATTACATTTACAAATATCTTATTGATCAGACAGATAAAATGCTCATTCATATTTTCAAAATCATAAGTGCAAAAAGCTTTTACCATGTTGGTACAATCAGGAAATAGAATATAAGAAAACATCTTTACTAAAATATCACTCATAATGATTTTGGTTGTTGACATCGTTTCGTGGATCAACCTACATAACATACAAACACATACACACATTGGATCACATTACTTCATCAGGTCACCATACTCTTGATTAATTCCTTTATATTAAATTCTTGTTAAGTTATTCATGAGGCTTATTTCGTGCCTAAGGATGCTTGGAAGGAAGAGTGGATGCAAATACAGACAGAATATGACTTTTCAAAATAAATTCAAAGAGGGCAATTTGCTCGAGCACACAAGTGGTCACTTGCGGATTGCATAGTTTGCAAAAGTACTGGATGGTCCGAATCTAGGCTCGATGGTCGCTCAAGCTAAGGTACAAAATAAACTGAGGTTGCTCGAGCGGTCACTTGGTTGCTTGAGCCAACTGCAAAACTACTGGATGCATGATATGTGCGCTCGAGCAACAATTTCTTTGCTAGAACGGTGCGGTCAAATTCTGGGTTTTCCAAAACTAAATTTGAGCTTCAAAACGCATGTTCAAAGTATAAAACCTTGCATGACATAATCTTAACCTTAAATATACTTCCAAAAACATGGATAGAAAACCAATTCTAAACCTTTAGCTCAAAACTTCATAATTTTGCTAAATTGAAGCTTAAAATTTCATGCATGTATGATCTTGGCTTAAATTCTTTTCCTACAACTTTCAAAACATGGAATTGAGCTTCAAAACAACATAATTCTTGGATGCATGTATGATATGATCCTCAATTCAAACATAGGTAACAATATTATGCTCAAAATGATGGAATTCAACAAAATTACACATGCATGTATGAATTAACTTTAAATTCTTCATCCTTAACTTCGTTCTTGCATTTAACTACATTATCTTCTTGAATTCACATACTTGGTGGCTTAAATTCATGAATTAAGAGTTAAGCACATACCTAAAGTTTTCAATTGCATTAATTCTAGCAAAAACTTGAGCTCTACTTCACAATCCTTCAATCCTCCAAGCAATATCTTCAAAATTAAGCTTACTCTCTCTCTAAAATGAAGTCTCTCTCTCTCTCTCTCTCTAAAGCTCACTTCCAACAAAATTCTTGAGTTCAATTATGAATTAAGCTTCCAACTTAACATATATATAGGCTAGATTAGCTTAAACTAATTAAGCAAGCTTAAGATTAACTAATTATACTTAATTCTAATTGATTTTGTCTAATTAATTTAATCTGAATCAAATTCTAATCAAACTTCCCATTAGGCTCTAAACATTATGCCATTCGAATTAAACTAATCAATTTTGGTTTTTGAAGCCCATAAGGCCTTCAATTTCGAATTCGAAACAAAAATCATAACAAATATTCCAACAACCAATAGATATGCATACAAAATCACATTAAACACATAATTAGCATTCATATTAAGTAAATATGAGTGTAATATGTGACAGGGTTGTCACAAGACGAGTATCGTTGAGACTTCTTGTGTCGAAAAGTCATCTTTGTGGACCTTACTTCATAAGAGTAGCCCTTTTCTTTGTGAGAGTTGACTAAGAGTTTCTTGTGGTGAGTGTGTTTTATCCTCGGTGTTCAAGGTGTCGAACGCTCTGATGTTGTTTGAGCGTTTGTATGCGGTTGGAAAGTGGTTGGCGTATTGGGTGCAAGAGGAACACGTTAACTGAAGTCTAGTCTCGTAGACTCTATTGAGTTATATGGGTCATAGAGACATCCGCGGCCTTTGGTAGAGTCGTTACTCCGAAAACCCATATATAATGGTGAACTCTATTTTGATTGACATTCTTCTTTCTGTTATAGTAGATGAGTCGAGAGTGACTCACTATTCTTTATCTTGTTGATTTTGTCACTCGAGAGTCTTTGTGGTACTGAGGTGTGGGACCAGGGATCTGGGAAATTATCCCTAGTATGGATGTAGACTTTGGGTTGAGGGTTATAACTCCTTTGTGTTTGTCTCACCTCGAGTATGGGTGTTCCTTTAATTTTGGAGACGAAATTTCCTAAGGTGGGAAGGTTGTAGCACTCTGAAAATTTTCTCTTCGCAGGAGCACAAGAGTGAGTGCTCAAGCAGTCTTTTGAACCATCTAGCAATGGTCTACAGCTCGAGATTTTGAGAGTTTGAAATGTTTGCTCGAGCACAGGTTTATCTGCTCAAGTGGTATGTGCATTTCGCGGTCTAAGATATTGGGAGTTTGCCATCATCACTCAAGCGCAAGTTTAACCACTCGATCGGTCTTCTGTCTCTCATGCTGGAGCACATGTTTCACCGCTCGAGTGGTGTGTTTAGGATCACCTCTTTAAATGTCACTCTTTAGGTCAAGTCTCTTTCACTTTTCGCTCTCTCCACTCTCTCACCTCCATTTCCGAGCTCCAAGCTTTTATACGTTGGGTTTCATCTTCTTAGAGTGAGAATCCCATCCTAGTTGCATATACCAAAATGTAGAGTACGGCGAGAACTTTTTTTATATGAGTGGATCGTCTCTTCGCCGTTGGTGGATTTTTGAGTTTTCTTCTCTCTCTTCAAGAGGTAGGGATTTCTTTACTCTCTTTTTTTCAATACTTTGCTATAGATAGATACATAATAGTTTTTATTGCATGAAAAACATAGTTTTGGGAAGAGCTTTTAAAATGCATATAGATAAGGGTTAGGGTTTGGACCTAAATGAGTTTAATCTTGTATTTGGTGTTGACTATGAAAGTATTTTGTCAATAGAATATGGTTGTGGTAAGTTAAATAAAAAGCCCTAATTTTATTTACTTGATTTGTAATTTGGAATTGAGTAGTAGTTATGTTTGTGACAGTTGATGAATCTAAGCTAAATTCACGGAATTGAAGTTGTAAAATGAGAGAGATTAATTAGTGTTTATGAAACCTAGATATGACGAAAGGTTGAGAAATTAGTAGAAGGGGTGTTTCTAATGATTAAGTGAGCTATATTCATATTTGTGAAATTAAATGTAAAATGAGAGAGAGAGAAAATGAATAGTTGTCATGAACTTAGATTATGTTGATAAGTGGGATTAATGTAATTAATAACAAAAGTTGTTGGATAAAGTGAATGTTTACTTGAACTTGGGAAAGGTGAAGGACATTGAGATTATGAGAATATATGTTTTCTTTGTCTTGAGATTTTGTCATTGGCTATCGGTGAAGGATGGTATTGTTTGTTGTAAAATTTATGTGAGCTAGGTTGAAATGAAATCTTATGTGTTATGGATAATTTCTGTAATCGCATTGTTAATGAGAATGAATGGAAGGAAACTTGAGATGCATGTGTTGTGGAAATGTGATTGTGCTATATAGAGGTAACGTGTTCCTTCCAGCTAGCAACCAATAAAGCGAACTGATGCTATATAGAGGTAATGCATTCCTTCCGGCTAGCGACCGATAAAGCAAGCAGTGCTATATAGCGGTAATGCATTCCTTCCAGATGGCAACCGGTAAAGTAGGTTGGGGTATACATAGGTATCGTGTTCCTTCTGGCTAGCCATCGATAAAGTGGGGTTATGACATGGGGATTGGCAAGACCACGGGGTGTTGATGTGTTTCAAATTTTATTGGTGATCCAAGTATATTTGTTAAGATACTTGTTGATGAATTTTTGTACTGAAATTATCATTGAGACTGTGTTATTGAAGTATTTATATATTGAGGTTTAAATTGGTTTTTGTATTGTGATGGGTACTCGGCTTGCTGGTAGTTCTAGCGTTAGTATAGTTCATTAACCATGAAATTACTAAAAATGATGGTGTGAGTACGGGTTTTAAAGGTGAATGAAGTAAAAGAGAATTTTTGAATACTTGAAGGTGATTTGAAAAGTGATAAATGTTTTCTTGAATGGTTTAATAAGAAATCTTTGGAAAACATATATCTATGTACATATATTTTGATATACAAAGATGACAATACCTATATAATTATCACTTGTGCATTCATGATCATATTTATCTATTGACTACTATTGTTTAGAGGTAATGGGATTCCTACGGGACATATTGTTCATCCCATGTTTTTAATCATTTTCAGGTATGAAGTTGAAGAATTGTTCAAAACCAAGATGTCTTTTATTTATTGGCCATGGGACCTAGCCCATGTAGGCGGCATGCCAACTCAGTTCAAAGAGGGTTAATCCCTTTTACTTATTTGTTCGTTTTATTTTTTTTCAATGTAAGCCTAAGGGTGTTTGTTGTAATTATTGTATTTGAACATTTCATCATTGTAGACGAGAGAGAATGTTATTGTTTGTTAATTGTTATTTGCTTTCGCAATTATATCTTGAAAATGGACATTAATAAAGAAATTTGGTAATGTATTCGATTAATAAAAATTTAAGGCCTTATAGACCCTCATTCCCCCTCTCTTTCCTCCTCTTTTTTTCTTCTTTTTCTTCTTTTCCAGATTTGGTCTCTCTCTCTCTCTCCCTTTCTCTCTCTCGTGCTCTATTGGTGGTGAAAGAGGGCAAAGAGGTTGGTCGTGATGATGAGGGTAGACAGTGAGGCTGTTTACAATGAGGCGAAGTGGTGGCATTGTTTGCGTTTGGCGGTGAAGAGCAGAGCTGAGTTGTGGTGGTGCTGTTCGCAATGGGGCAGAGAAACTAGGTCATGATGGTGGCGAGGTTGGTCACGATGGTGGGGTGTGTTGCCAATAGATGTGGGGGAAAGGTAGCTAGTGGAAAAGGGAGTTACCAGTCTGACCGGGGAAAGAGAATGAGTTGGAGGTTAGTCGCCGAAGATGGCAAAGTTGGTGAAGATAGAAGCTGAGGTCGCCAGAGATGGAAGTTGGGGTTGCCGGTGGAGAGGGTGGTGAAAAGGTGAGTGGGTTAGAAATTAGGGTTAGGTTTTAAGGGATTGTTTGGTAATTTTAAATAATGATAAAATTGTAATTATAAAAAAAGGAAAAGAATTACGAATGTAAGGAGTTAAAATGATGGTGTAAATAGAATTATCAATCGCATGTCTTGAAACTAAAATAAATGTTTGAGAGAGGTTCCACCGAATGTCACCAATCTAATCCCATAATTAGCAAGACTAAAAACTTAGGAAAAGTTCACTTTCCTTCCAT